TAACTTAAATTAACCCATATCTTTTAATCTACATTCTTTTAAGTGATTAGACTACCTTTACTCTGACTGCCCATCCAGCTTCCTCCCACATCTGGCTGGTGACTCTGCCTTTCTTCTTCTTTGTGTTCTCTCCCTGACCAGAAGTCCCACCTATCTGTTCTGCCTAGCTATTGGCCACTCAGTTTTTTATTACACCAATCACAGTAATATATCTTCACAGCATACAAATACCCCAAAGCAGAGCTGAGTATTGGTGATTTTCTGGGTGTCTAAGGCTTCAGCTGAGTCTTCCTACAGCATGAGTTTGATGTGCAAAAGGCACGTGGCCTCCTGCTGTGCCCATGTTGGAGGGATCAAGCTTCAGCTGCAATTAGTCAGGGAATGCGTTAGACCTGGGCATTGGCCATCCCTGGCCACTCCACAGTGAGAAGTGGAGGCTCAAAGTGATCAACGATACAACCCTGACAGAGACTCACTGGGACTTCACACGGGCCCCTGCTTCTTGGGTCTCTGGCTTGTCCTTGGGGTTTCTGGGCAAGGAAGCCCACATGGCTGTGGGCCTGTAATCAGGAAGGGTTTGCTGGGAAGGGTCCCAAGGACCAGGCAACACAGACGCAGCAGTGGTGGCCCACTTTAGGATGGGAATCCTTCCTTCCTTCCTTCCTTCCTTCCTTCCTTCCTTGGTAAGCCTCACAGTTTGAAGCCCCAGACTGAAGCTAGTTAAACTTTAGTTTTTCTCACTTCCCAAAACGGAGAGATGAAATCTGGGGACCAGTGGGAAAGCTTCAGGGAAAGATATTCGAAGAGATAGGGCTTAGGGTGGAAGTGGGCACCCCAACCTCCCTTATGACCTTATATGAAATGAGGGGAGACTGTGCAACAGGCATCCCGAGTGACCAGTGCCAACACTTTCCAGGCTGAGTGCAGGGTGACTTCTCTGCTGAGTTTGGGATGGCAAGATGCTTGGTGCCTTCATCTCTTCCCCGAAATCTGCTGTCTCTTCTACCTATGGAGCCTTGTGCTTATGGCTTTGGCTTAGACGTGTCTTGTGGAAGAAGCCAGCCTAGTTTTCTGGGGCCACCTCAATAAGCCAGGCAAAGAGACAGAAAGAATTCTCTCCTAGTCCAGGAAGTTGAAGTCAAGAATCCAGGTGTGTGGAGCCTGGGATAAGGCTCTTGCCTGGGCCCCTCCAAGCTTCTCATATGCCCTCTGTCCTGGGCAGCTTTAGTCTTGGCTGTATCACTCTAGGAGCTGCTTCTTTCCTCTGCCTGTCTGCATCTGAATTAATTCTTTCACATGGATGCCCACCTTTGGATTAGGGCCACCCTAGCCTTAAGGATGATTCCATCTGAGACCCCTAACCAATATGTCTGCAGAAATCTTGTCTTCCAGTAAGATCCCATGTAAAAGATTTGTTTGTTTGTTTTTGTTTTGTTTTGGTTTTTTTTTTTTTGTTGTTGTTGTTGCTGCTGTTTCTTCTTCTTTGTAGACAGGGTTTCTCTGTGTAATAGCTCTGGCTATCCTGGAACTTGATTTGTAGACCAGGCTGGCCATAAACTCACAGAGGTCTTCCTGCCTCTGCCTCTGCCTCTGCCTCTGCCTCTGCCTCTGCCTCCTGAGTGCTGGGATTAAAGGCGTGTGCCACCACCACCTGGCTGTCATTCAGAGGTTCTGGATGGGGGCTATTGTTCAGTTCAATGCACCCCATGTCTTCTTAGCCTTTGGGCTTCCTCCACAGGACTTGCACTTTATTCTGTAATTGTATCATCCTGTTCTCAAGAACCCCATGAGGGCACAACTGCCAACTTTCCATTTACTGCCCCACTACAGGGTTGGGCTAGAAGCTCTTGAGATTCTGATGCAGGCAGGTTCTTGGGGAGATGTACCCAACCAAACCATGACAGAAAGCTGCCCAGTTCCTATCCAAGCTCATTGCTAACAATTTTGGCACTCACAAAACTGTAAGTGGAAGATTGGCTTTGTACATGTGTAAAAGTTACCTGCATATAGGGTGTGTGTGGGGGTGTGGGGGTGTGTGACACCCTTATGGATTGTCCTGGTATGGTGGGGAGGCACATTTGTGGTTTCTTCACATCTGTAGCCCTTTCTTGCTGTCTTCCTACTCTCCTAGTTCTCTATATCTTGGTGCATTTCTGTCCTCATAGGTCTCTGATTATTCTTGTCTCCCTGCCCACTTACCCCAGGGCTGGGAGCGTGTGCATTGCTTTGACCTTCCATGGATCTACACAGACTTGCTTAGCTTTCTTAAGCTTCCATCATCAGGTGGTTCAGCAAATATAAGGGGATAGAATCAATGCCAAATCACTGTCATTTTCCTATCACTTTGGTTCCTCTGCCCAGGGCCTGGCAGAGCCTAGGGGTTACTAATACTGTACGAGTGAAGGACTCAAGTGAGGTGGATCTCTAAGGTCTCTGGGCAGACGCCATGGAGAGGCATCTCTAGTCTGAGGCTAGGGCCCACAGCAGTAGTGTGTGTATGAAGGTTAACAGGTTCCATCTTTGTGGTTTGACAGCCTTGAGGGCAGTGCTCAGCTTGTAGGGAGTAGCAAGGACATCTGTCAAGGGAGTGATGATGGAGTGATTGTGCTCTTTTTGTGTAGGAGCAGCCAACCTCAGGACCAGTCACTCTCACCATGACCTTAGGAACCAAATGAGGCCCTCTTGGGGCCACTTTGACTCCACCTCTCTTCCTACTATGCCCCTTCTCTTATTACCCAGTAAAGAGATACTGTATCACCATGGCTCTGTGACTCTTTGGAGATGCCCTTGAGCAGGGCTCTGTCTTGAACCTAGGCCTCCAGGGAGACTGAAGTGGACTCTGGCCATTTAGGGTTCTCCTGGGAGAAAGGGCAGGAAGTTTCATTTAAATTTGGTGCAGAGACATTGCTGTATCCACAGGGGAAATTGAGCATAGTGTATGTTGGTGAAACTGAGGTGCCTTGTGAAGATGGTTCCTGGCTGCCAGACTCCAGACTTCTTTGGGTCTCACTGGTTGGATGTAGGAGCTAGAGCTGGAACAGCAGGAGGGCCATGGCGTTGACTTGTCTGGGTTTTGCTTTCCACCACTGCTGTGATTTTGTCACTCTTGGACCTCTGGGAGCCTGAGAAATGGGTCAGGACAGTGGCCAGTGTGCTTCTGGATCTTGCTTGGCTAGCTGTTACATGTATTTCATGACAGACTCCTGGATATGTATGGTAGCTCTTTCTTGTTTCTCAGATTAAGACACTGAGGCACAGAGGCTGGGCAAGTTATCCAAGGTCACATGACATTGCTCTTGCATGAGAGGTGGGGTATGGGGTCGTTCCCCAGGGACCATCACTGCTGTTGCCTTTATGTCTAGTTCTCATTCTTCAAAGGGCCAGGTATGAGAATCCGGAAGGCGCTGGAGTTCTGGTCCATTGCTCATCAGTGTCTGTGGTCCTCAGACAACAAGAACCAGAAGCAGCCAGCCCTCACAGGTGCTGCCCTCATCCTGTCCTGGTCACCCAGAAAACCGGATGCCACCTACTCTGCTTCCCTTTCTCTCACTCCTGCCAGCCCAACCCATCTCTGTGTCCCCAGGGGCTGACTTGTCAGCCTGTTGCTGGGACCTTAGCTTCCCTCCTGATGTCCCAAGGCCTTTGATGGTTCTTTGTGTCAACCAGTGTGCTTCCTCTCTAACTCATCCCTTACACCTTCCTGGTAGCCCACCCGATGTCTTCTCTAGCCTGGTTTCCCTGGAGGGTGGGCTTCAGTGTCTGCGACCTCCCTGTAAGCTGTAAGTCTGGAGCAGCTCCATGTGGGTCCTAAAGACTGGAGACAAGTCCTGCAGGATGAGGGATACTGACCTGGGTAGAGTTGTCTTGGGTGCCCTTCGGCCCCTGCAAGCCTCACAGCACCTGACCCTCAGCTGTACAATCTTTGAACCAGAGAGTTGGGTCCCAAGGTGATCAAGCTCTTTTGGGGATGCCAGCTTTAGCTTTCTTCCCCAGAGAGTGAGGGACTTTGTTTTAATATTGATCACAAAGTTGATTTTGAAAATAAAAATTGCCTTAAAATTCTTGGTGGTCTGAGAGATGTTTGTTTCATAGATTTAAAAACTGTGTCATTGGGACTGGGAGGATGGCCCAGTTGATAAAGTGCTTCCCGCAGATAAAAAGCCAAGCATGGTGGTGTGCATTTGAAATCACATGGTGCAGTTCTCAGGAGACAGAGATAGGTGGATCTGAGGTAGCCTGGCCTCCTCAGCAAGCTCAGGATTAGTGAGAGACGATCTCAAAGAATAAGTAACCAACCAACCAATGAACTAAATAACCAATCAATGGATCAACCAACCAACCAACCAATAGAATAACTAACCAACCAATGGACCAACAAATGGAATAACTAACCAACCAACCAACCAACCGAATAACTAACCAACCAATGGACCAACCAACTGACCAACCAATAGAATAACTAACCAAACAACCAACAACCAAGCAATACCTGAGGTTGAACTTTGGCTTCCACACTCACATGAATATGTGTACACCTTTCTCCACAACTATACACACACACACACACACACACACACACACACACACACACACACAAATACCATATACAAATATACATACATACATCACACACACACTTAAGTTGTGTCATTACCCAGGACTTTGTGGAAACTTGTAACCAAGAGAGGTCATAGGCAGAGTGGACAGTGGTCATGGAGTGCAGGATGTTGCAGGAAGTGAGATTCCTAGGAGGTGGGTGATCATGGCTCCATGCCCAGTTCAATATCTGCTGTTGTTTTAAAATACATTGTTACAAATGGGGAAACTGGGATGGTGCAGTCTCAGTGTATGGTCCATCACTGTCCAAATATTAGGATCGAGGCAGCTTGAGTGCTCTCTTAGCTTGGTCCAACCTATCTCTGGATGTGGGTTGAGGCAGAGTGAGCAGAAATTGAGTCTCTGAGTAACTGGCAGCCAGCTTTGCCCAATGACAGTCTTTGGGTGGTTTCACATGCTTGCACACTCTCCAAATATAAGCCTGTGCCCTCCATAAGCAGAAGCCACAAGGCAGGCCCTGAGATGGAAGCCAGGCTGCTAAACACCATCTGGGGACTCCTCCTGATGTACCTGCTACATGTGGAGTCTACAAGGGTGGACCTCGTACCAGAGAAGGTGCCTCTTCTTAGCTTGGAGGCATGACTGGGGCTTGATGGGAAGTTGGACTGGGGGGGACTGGTGTATAACCATTGCAACTCTCTTTTCCCTTCTATTCAACTCCTAGATTGCTACAGTATAGCTGGCAGGGGCAGGACCCACTCTTGAGGCCCCATCCCCAAGAGGGCAGGCAGTACAGGGTCCTAGTGAGGCTCTGAGCTCCACGGACCTCTCCCCACCCTGAGTTTTCTCATGTGCCACCTATGTCCAGGCAGTAGCTGCTGTCCTCAGCCTGGTCACCTCTGGGTCCTGGGTGATTTACAGATTTTGGGTCCCTTCTTGCTCCCTGGTTCACAGGGTTCCTCTGTCCCCATCCTTGTGTACTGTGGAGTCAGAAAAGTACTTCTCCAGAGTGGACAGCTTCTTCGCTTGGATTCCTCTTTCTATGCCCGCAGAGTCACACTGTAAACTCAGAGGGATCAGGCTTTGGGGGACACAGATTCTTTTCTCTGGGAATAGTAGCCAGTTTCTAAAAGTTACAGGTGATATCCTGTGCTCTGGGAACATTGCTATTATAGGAAAGCATGACCCCAGGGAAGGGAAGGTTGGTCGAACCATGCTTCAGGCAGTTTGCTGGCTGTAGGCCTGGAGGTTTGCTCCCCACACACCTGCAAGAAAGGTCTCCTGGCTGACTGGTCTTGTGTCAGGATCTTCTGGAAGGAACATTTCTGTCTGGTGTCCTGATAGGTCCCTTGGGAAGGAAAACTTGGCTAAGGACAAGTGACCTCCCAGTCTCATGACTATATATTGACCTCTCAGAGCTCACCCACTCCTTGCCTGAGGGTCCCTGAAATGCCCTCTATAGTCCAGGAGCTGGAAACCTAGTTTGGCTTGATAGTGCTAGTTCTGTTCTCTAGATTGCAGGATTCTGGAAGGAAGTGGCTGTAACTTCTGACCAGAACCTGGTGCTGAAGACTCAAAGGAGGATAGAGGGTTTGTTCCTCACCTTCAGTGGGAGGAACATCACCGTGAAGGCTGTGTACAACAGGTAAGGGCCTGGGTCGTTTGCGAATGTCATCTGCTGGAAAGGAAGAGACATACATGTAGTTGAGCACTGTCCAGGGTGTATCTTTTGTAGTGATGAGGTCATCAGTCTGATTGTGGACAAACCTTCCCCATGTCCACCTGCTTGTGCTCTCCAACCACAGATAAAGTGAGATCTCAGGCTCCTAGAGCTGCATTTCTGCCAAAATATAAGCCAGGGCTTATAAAGCCCTATTGGTTGATAAGAATGTGTGGGTAGTAGCTGGATGACTCCCTGAAAATAAGAGGCTGGGGCAGCCCTGCCTCTTTCCCGTGGATCCTAGGCTCCAGGACGCTCTCCAGCTTGCCAGCACCCTTTCTGAAGATATGCCTCACTCAGGAATGCTCCCAGCAGGCAAAATGAAGGCTGGCAGGTTCTTAACAAACACTGTTGCTTTTTAGCTCAGGGAACTGTATGACTGAAACAACAGTGGGTTCAAGAAGAGACACTGGGGGTGATTTTGCTTTTCCCGGTAAGTACTATTACCTTGTTGCCAAAGTTGCAGCTGCCTGGCCCTGAATACTATCTTACTATTTCCTACCCTGGCCTTGAGGCTCCCTGTGCCCTTCCTGGGATTCTCAGGCTCCTCATCTCTACTAGTGTACTGGGTTGACCTTCAGAAGTTATCTTCCCAGGATGTTACAGGCAGGTCCCAGAACCAGGCAGAAACGGAAGGGAGTGAGAATCTGCAGATCCAGGCTTCCAGGCCAGCCCCCTTTAGTGTTGAGGTTTGAGCAAGGCTCCCTAACCCTGCCACTGACTCCTGAAGGCCACAGGAAGATCTATGTGCTGGAAACAGACTATGAGCACTACACCATCCTGAAGTTATCCCTACTCTGGCAGGGCAGAAACTTCCATGTGCTCAAGTACTTCAGTAAGTTCAGCCTGGGTAGGGGCAGAACCCGGTGGCTGCCTTATTTCAGGCTGCCAGCCCAACTCTGCTGTGCTCCACAGCTCGGAGCCTTGAAAGTGAGGATGAGCCAGGCTTCTGGAAGTTTCGGGAAATGACAGCAGACCAAGGCCTTTACATGCTGGCCCGACATGGTGAGCACAGTGCCTTAGGGTGCTGGACCAGGCTCCTGTTATGGGGTCTGATGTCCTCCTGACTGTACCGCATGCTGTCCCTTCCCACAGGGAGGTGTGCTGAGCTCTTGAAAGAGGTGAGTCCACTACCCTTGGTCTACATTGCAGCCCAGCCTTCGTGGAGGCCCTGCTGACATTACTAGATCCTGATCCTGGAAAGAAGGGGTCATCCATCCCTCCTCTGACCAGGACAGCCAACAGCCCTGATGGGCAGCTTCCGATGCATCTGTTTTGTAGTTGGGAAAGAACAGTCTGCCGTGTGACCCCAAGCTGTCATGCTCGGCTCTGGGGCAGGGCAGAACTAGGTTGGAGAAGGAGGTACCTTGTTTGTACTATTCTGTCTATCAGGGATGTGCAGGGCTCGGGGCCAGTTCTACCCTTTTCTGTTCTGCCAGTTGGTGGGATGAGTTCAGCTCTGTTGGATATCTTGGGGTTTCCTATGTCTAACACCATGTTAACCCACTACCTACACAACTTCACGGTCACAGCCGAGGCTCTGGAGGTTGACATCATAACTCATTTTGCAGATAGAGACTCCAAGGCGCAGGGAACCAGTGCTTTGTCAAAGCCAAGCAGCTGAGGTACCAGGTACCTAGCTTGTGACGATTGACCAGCACCACAGGGTTCCTAAAGGCCACACATGGCTCTAAGCTCTGCTGTTCTGCCTACAGGGACTGGTCTGAATAGCTTCTGTCCTGGCCTGCAGCAGCAGCCCCACCAACCTGGCCTCTCCTGTTCCTGCCTGGAGGGCCTCCTGTACCTGCTTCAAATAAACTCTGTTACCAAATGCTGCCCAGCATCTTTCCTGGGAGCAGGGAAAGGGGTGGCAGGAATGTTCCTCTGGCCCAGGTGGAGGAGACAAGCCTGCATTTTCCGTGAATGCTTGGTGAAGAATGTGCCTCACACACAGGGTAGCCAGTCTAGACTCCCATGTGAAAAGGCCCATCTCCACCCTGCCCTGCACTGCCCCATTCACACTACCCTGGGCAGTGAGTCCCACAGTCCCCTCCTCATACTGGAACAGTGTTCATGAATGCTAGTGGCGCTCTGGGATGCTGTGAGGAAAAATGAGAGCAGGTCTGGAGCTTTGTGGGCACCTGGGCCGAGGAGCAGCAGAGAAGTGCTTTTCAAAAGGGTCAAAGGCCATGCCTCCAGGAAAGACATGCAGAAATGTGTGGCTCTGGCTGTGAGGGAACCTTTAACCCTCCTGCTGCCCGTTTTGTTGGTTGCCTACTTCCACAACTATCCTTGACACATCCCTCTGAGATGTCTTGTCCCCACTGGACAGATGGGCAGCTGACACTCAGAGGACAGAATGGAGTCCACACCAGGGCCGCTTTCCCGAGGCCAGTACGCGGTACCTGGTGCTACATTCTGGAGATGGCAAGGCATTGAAGTGGCCACTGTGTCTGTCTTGTCAGAGGATGGGTGGGGCAGTGCACAGTTTAGCAGGATCCTGAACATTCCTTTTTGCACAGAGATTCCCTAAGAATACAGATTCTTAAGGTGACCAGTGGGCATACACCCCATTCAAAACTCCTGGTGCTGGACGTTCCTTGAGCTTACTTCATTGGCCTTGAGCGATCACATACAAATCACCATTTCTAGGGCAAGATCATTAACATCAGGATAGCTCAGTTCTGAACAGACCCAAAGCTCTTTTGATGTTGGAGGGGTCAGGGAGGATGGATTGATCACTGGTTGCCAATCTGGGGCCTGCTGAGATGATAAGGGCTCTGGACACAGCACTATTGGCTGCCTGAGTTTGTCTGGGCTCCATAATAGCTGGTGAATGATTTTTCAAGAAGTATGCTGGGAACACTGGCTTTGGTGTCTGTCAGAAAGAAAGAGGGTGCATCAGTCCACTAGCTAGGCCACCAGAAGATCCAACTGGCTATTACCTCTGTGTGCATTAGCTGTTCCTTCCTGCAGGGCTCTGAGCCTGGCATCATTTTTGTATTCCTTAACTGTTTTCCTGATTGTCTCCCTGTCTCATCTTTCCCACTCCTTATAATTTGAACTCTGGATGTAGTTGCTAATACTCCTCTATCCTTGTCTGTGCCCTGCAGGGTCAGGTCCTGGGTTTTCCCTAGGGGGTGATGTCACAAGGGGCTGTCTCTTTGCTGTGGAGACTACACAGGTATCTTGGGCCCATGTGTCTCGTTCTTCACCTGAAAGCTGGAGACTGTGGTCTGTGCCCACAAAAACAAATTTGTGAGTAAAAGCAACACCAGGGAAGCAGGGCTGGCTTTAGCCCAGGCATGATGACTGTTCATCTGGTGGCCCTTGGGTGACTGATGTGGTTTCTTCAAAGTACTCAGTAGGACAGTCATGGGCCTGGAGGGGGGTCAGGACATTAAGATTCTCATCCTGATGAACATAAAGCCACACAGATCCAACCATGCACGGCTCCCGTGCCCTCAGTCCTGCCTCTGCCATTCCCAGGCCTCTGTGTCACTTGCTACAGTTGGCAGAGTTCTGCCCCCAGCACACAAGTCTTTATCTTCTCTGTGCCTATGACCAAACCCTGTCCGGGGGCTTTGGTGGAGCCTGCTCTTTCACCCACACAACTGGAAAGCAGCACCTCAATTGCTGAGTGGATTCATGCATATATGAGTGGACACCCAGAGACAAGATCTGTGTCCCCTGGGGCAGTTCCCTGAGGCCCTGCAGTCCAGCAGGTAGGTGAGTCACCTGGCTGGTTTACAGCGCGCTTCCAACCCAACCTAATGAGAACCTTCTATGCCTATTCCAAGCACCCACAGGAAGGATATAAAGTTCAGAGGCTCTGAGCCAAAGGCTATGGCTTCCTGTGGTTGGGGAGCTGAACTACCCGCTAGGCACATGGAGAGCAACATACTCTTCACTCTGCTGGGGCTGTGCATGTGTCTGTTCGTGGGGTTGGCTGCTGACCCAGAGGATGCAGCACAGGATGACTTCGACGTAAACCAGGTAGTCACAGTTATAGTGAACCAAGTTCAGTGCTTTTCCATGGGGGTTGGGCCCTGCCTAGTCAGCCTTCAATACTCCATCACCTTGGGTGCCCTTCACCCCTAGAACTTTCCAGACTGCTGAATTCCTTAGAAGGAGGGATGTAGAATGGCTCTCAGGGTCCCAAATCCTGGATGCTGATACACTTGGGCAATTCCTTTCTCTAACCCCTATCCCCCAGTTTTTAGGCTTCTGGTATGAGATCGCCTTTGCCGCCAATACTGATGAAATTGGCTACAGGGATGATGAGAAGTTGGGAGCCATGAGAGTTGAGCTGGAAAAGGACCTTCTGGCCATGACAGTCACCTATTTCCAGTGAGTTAAGGCCTTGCCTATGGCCCTAGAGAAAAGTTGGTGTACAGTACTCTCTGCTTTCCACAGAGATACATCTCCCCATGTCAGAGCCTCAGCCTCAGCTCTAGAGAGATGAAGAGAAGGCAGTGTCCCACTGTCTATCAAGGCAGTTTATGAGAGTGACCTCCAACTCTACAATCATGATAGGAGTTTGGCCTCCAGGGCTGCCACCCTGGACTCTGAGCAAAGACAGTAACTGATAAGACAACTCTAAGGTCCAATTTTCTAGCTCTCAGGTCATGAGACATGCCAACTGCTGACTGACAGATGGCAAGGCCTGAGGAAAAGTGAGGCAAGGCTGACCTGAGTCATCTCTTCATCTGGGCATATAATCCAACGGTGCCAAAGTCCCCATGTATCGTTTGGCCACTAGACACCTTCAAGCTGCACATGTGAAGCCAGATTCAAGTCCACAACAACATGTCCCTGTTCTCAGAGGGTCCCGTTACAGTGTGCTGTTTTGGCCCTCAGATATCTGCTCCTCAGCCAGGCATGCTGGCTGTGTTCATGCTTCTCAGAGTTCGCCTTCAAATGTGAATCCTTTCACCTCAATGTGTGTCCCTGAATGTGTTTATGTCAGAATGTGTCCCTCAGCTCTGAGTGTGTCCCTGATTCTCTTCTTCAGATGCGTGCAACCCTGCTCCTCAAAGACTATATACCTCACACATGTGTGTCTTTGCTCTTCAGGGTGTACCCCTCAATGTGTCTCTGTACCACCAAGTGTGCTCCTCGGTCATGAACATCTGTGTTTCATAAGAGGGTCTCCCCCAAATGTGTGTTCCTTTACTTCAGGAAGTTTGTCACTCACATATGTATTTCCCTGCTCCTGAATTACTCATCTTTATCAGGCTGTGTCCCTCGGTGGTAGAGAGTAGGTCTCATAGGTGTGTTTGTTCCTGTTCCTCAGACTCAGACACAAGTGTGACAGTGTCCCTCCAGCCTGTATCCCTCGGGGTGTGTCTTTTGATCCTTTGTGTGTTTGCAAGCACAGGGAAGTGGCTTCTCGGGAGTACCTCTTACTACTCCTCCTTCTCACTGCGTAGCCACTGGATAAGGGGGCCTGTTCTCTGCGGTTATAGGCTCAGAAGGCATTAGGACACCTATATCTGGCTGGTTTCTGAACTCCAGGGTTACCTACAATGCCCACCACCTCAGAGCATACAGTGTAAGGCCTGGTAGGCAGGAGGTCAGGAGTCTCCTTCCTTTATACGCCTTCATTCACACCCCCTCCCATGTCTGTCTCTATAGCCCAGGCTGCCCTGAGCTATATGTCTAGGGATGTGTGTGCACAGGGATGAGTCCTGTGTATAAACACACGTAAGAGGCCTACTCTCTGCCACTGAGGGACACTGTTCCCCCTTTTTCTGTCTGTATAGCCAGGGTTCCCTCCCCCCTTTTTCTGTCTGTATAGCCCAACTTGGCCTCATACTGCAATCTTCTTGAGTCAGGTCCCCTCACCTCCTGTGTTGAGATTACAGGCTGGCCTACCTTCTTGTCTTTGTAGTCATAACGTCTGTGTGCTGAAGAAGATCAAGGCTGCTAAATCAGACTACCCATGGCGGTTCAGGATCACAGCAACAGGCGAAAATGCTGTCCCAGGTTTGGTGGGTGTGGTGGCCTATCTGGGGCACTTCGGTTTGCTCTCAGTGTGTACCTTCACTGTTCTGGATGGGGAGTGGGACCCTTGCCTTGCTGAGGATGTTGCTTGCTGTGTCCAGACTGAAGCCCTCAGTGCCAGGCTGCTCAGTACCAGGGTGCCATGCCCAGGAGTCAGACTCTGGCTTTGCCAGGACTTT